TACACTAGATTATAAGCACAAGACAAAACACATTACCTCGAAGGTAACAAAGCAAAGAAAGAAAAAAAACATTTCACACCCACATGGTGACAGAGTAACCCAGTGTAGTCCCTTAATTCTAGACCCACAAATGGTCGATCAGCTGGAAAGCTATTCCGTGAAGGATTAGGAAAAATAAGAGGTAGCTAATCCCTTATTCAAACGTATACAAAAAATGCCAAATACATTTTATGCTGATGAACTACACACAAAGTTACATGAATTGTCAAAAATATTAGACAAACCCACAAATCACTCTAAGACCCACTTAAATCTCCACATACACAAGAAAAAGAAGAAAGGGTAGGAAATATCCTACCATCACTAAGAAAACCAAAATTGTTTTCATTCCCTGTGAAGACATAGATTGAATTAGACTTATTAAGCCAGTGAATAGGCTATCTAGTCTACTCCGAACACCCTCACCCAAAAACCTAGCAGAAATGTAACGGACAGCACTAACCGTGCTCAAAGGTCTAACCTCAGGTTGGGGAGTACTACAGATTGGCATATCCGGAGCCAGCACACTTTCAATTTCCGACTCAACACTAGTAGTGTCAGACGACTGATCAGAATCCTGGTAGATTGTCACAGACCACACTGACAAAGCATCTTCAACCAAGTTAACAACATCAGGCACCATCCCCGCTGAGTGGAGTTTCACTATCAGAACTCTTGTAGGCTTTGGGGATCTCTCTCTGATCCACTTCTGTTGAGCACACCTCACTCAAGGGGACTTCATACAGTTGTTCCATCAGCTGGGACTTCCATCCACTTCCATCAGCTGGGACTTCACCATCCTCTTGGAGTATCCTCCCAGAAGACTCAGGAAGGCTTGCTACCCAGTGGACAGTCCTTGCGTCACTCCCATCCATTTTGCTGGATGCTGCAGACATCTCAGAGATCATGTCACCACTCGATAGAGATCCGTGACTCTCAGGTTCCTCCCAAGAAGACAAAGGCAGAAAGTTGACTGGCATAATCAGGTTCCTATGCACAGTTTTGATGCGTCCAGTGGTAGGGTGCAGTATACGATATGTGTTCAGTGAGCTGTTCTACGCAACAACTATGTACACCGCACTGTCCCAGCGATCAGCCAGTTTCTTCTTGCCCCTCTCTTCCTTGTTAGCAAGTAGAACTCTGTCTCCCTTCTCTACCGAATGACCCTTCCACCGTCTGTTGTAGACCTCAGCTTGTCTCTTTTGTTGCTTACTTGCATGCTGCTGAGCCAATGTCATGGCTTCTCTCAGATCCTCACCCAAAGACTGGACATACTTATCCACATCTACCGTGTCCCCATCCAACAGCACACTTTCAAATATAACAACTACTGGCAACCTAGGGGTGCGTCCAAACATCAAGAAGAAGGGCGGAAACCCAGTAGTCTTATGAACAGTGCAGATATAGGAGAATGTCAATGTATTCAACATCTGAGGCCATTTAGCCTTTGACCTAGCTGGCAGAGCTCTAATCATCCCACCCAGTGTGCGATTCAGACGTTCTGCTTGACCGTTCCCCATGGGATGATAAGGTGTGGTGTGGGACTTTCCAACACCAGATAACTGAAGTAATTCTGCAATGTGAACTTTCAAAGTTAGCACCCCTGTCAGAATGGATACAATCAGCGAACCCATAAATGCAGAATAAATTATTCCAGAGAACACGAGCCACAGTCTTAGCAGACTGGTTTCGACATGGATACGCACATGCCAGCTTAGTAAAGTGATCAGTCACTACTATCAATACACACAAGTTCCAAAGGTGCCGTTGTCACAATGGAAACAAGTGGAACTCTTGCTTCAGGCTTGGGTGCTTTACTCAACACGCATCTCTTACAGTGGGCCACGTATTCCTTGACATCCTTTTCCATAGAATCCCAGTAAAACCGCTGTCTCGTAAGCCACAATGTGCCCTGCTGGCCCTGGTGACCAGCATCATCATGAACTCCCTTCAACACAAGGCCTCTCAAAGACACAGGTACGACATACTGGAAAATGTTCTTCTTACTCACTGGGTATTTTGAGACACGATACAGAATCCCTAATCGCGTGGTGAGTTTTCCCCACTGTCTTAGAGTATAAACTGTTTCCTTAGCTTCAAGGGCTCGCTCTCTCCTAGATGGGCGGCGGCCTCTATCTACAAAGAACATGACTCTGCTGATGACAGGATCCAGTGACTGGTTATCATACAGCTCCTTGTGTGTAAAGACAGGTAAAGGGCTCTGACCCATGGACGTCAACCTCTCAAGGTGCTGCACATGTGAAACGGCCCTCACTGTGGCACCATCATCCCATCGGCGGTGAGCATGGAGGACAGCAGACACCACTTCACAGGAAACCAACCCACTGACATCGTCTCCAGCTCTACTCAACTCATTCCCAGGAGCCATAGACATTCCACAGCCAGCCACGGGCTGTTCACAGGAGAGGCAGAACATGTCTTGAACATCATCCACTCGAAGACCTCTGGCTTCCTCCAGCAGGACATCATATGGAATTCTTGTCAGTCGGTGCAGAACTGTGGAGCGGACAAATGGCTCTCTGCTCAAAGCATCAGCTACAACATTCTTGGGACCTGGTATGTACTGGATATCAAAATCAAAGGGTGCCAGCTTTGCAACCCATCTCTGCTCGCATGCATCAAGTCTCGGCTTTGTAAGAATATATTTGAGTGGATTGTTGTCGGTCCACACAGTAAATGTATGCCCTCACAGCCAATGGCTGAATTTATCATGAATGGCCCATTTCATGGATAGAAATTCCAGCCGGTGAGCAGGATACTTGGATTGTGCATGATTAAGAGATTTACTAGCAAAAGCTATCGGCCTGGCTATGTCCTTCCCATCTTGCACTTGGGATAGTACAGATCCCAAACCACTAGTAGATGCATCCACTGAAAGTAGAAATGGCTGAGAAAAATCTGGATGAGCCAGCAGTGCCTGGTCAACTAGTGCTGATTTCAAAGCTTCAAAAGCGAGTCGACATTCGGCAGTCCAGTCTGCAGCAGTGAGCCTGCGAGGGGGACCAGGCCTCTTCCTACCCTTGCCTCTTCTAGGCTTCTTCTGACCTGTAGTTAGCTGAAACAATGGCCTAGCAACCATGGAACAATTCTCAATGTAGTGCTGATAGTATACTACCATACCAAGGAAAGCGGATTTTGCTAGGAGACGGCGTGACACCATCAGCTTCCATTATCTCACTCTCAGTCACATTCAAAATGGTTTGAACTTTAGCAGGGTCAGTGGCTACACCCTCCCGAGAAATGATGTGGCCCAAAAACTTAACAGACCTCGTCAGAAACTTGCACTTAGATGGAGACAGTTTAAGGTTGTGCTTCTGCAACCGCTGAAAAACCATCTCAAGTCTCTGCAGACTCTCTTCCTCCATCTTAGCAAAAACCATCAGATCATCCAAGTAACAAAGGAGACTTAGAAAGTTTTGGTCACCAAAGATGGTCAGCATCATTCTCATAAAAGTAGCCGGGCTGTTGCAGAGGCCCTGAGGTAACCGATTGTACTCGTGCAGACCTAAAGGGGAGGAAAAGGCAGTGTATTTCTTGTCCTCTTCATGCAGTGGCACGTTGTAATACCCTGACGTCAAATCCATTGTGCTGAAGAAGGCATTACCTCCCAGCGCGGCCAGTACATCAGCCTGATGAGGCAGGGGATGAGCATCCTTTACTGTGTGGGCATTTAACCACCTGAAGTCAGTACATAGGTGCAAGTCCCCATTATTTTTCCATACCAGCACCAATGGTGAGGCATACTCGCTGCTGGATTTTCTGACGATTTCCTTTTCCTCCATATCATCCAGTGTTTCCCTTAGTTTTTGGTAATGAGCTGGAGACAGCCTACGATAAGGCAATCGAAATGGCCGGTCATCAGTCAGCCGTATGCGATGGCAGAACTCCTTTGCCTCGCCACAATCTAGGCTATGTCTAGAGAACACTGTGTCATACTTCCCAAATAAGTTGACAAGTTTATCTTTCCAGAACTGTGAAACTGGACACTCCTCAACAGACAGGCCTTGAAGTCCAAGATTGCTCAGTGTACTGTTGCCATTAACTACACTGCCACCAACTGAACTCTTAGCTGTCAGACTCTCACACACGCGCATGCACAAACACACATACACACACTTACTGCGTGTGTAGAAGTGGGCCTTGTATTTGCCCAGCCTGAGAGCGAACAGGCCGTACTTCTCACTGGGGTCTGTAGGGTAGAACATCATGGCCTCTCTCAGGAAGGTATTGGGAAAGTTCTGGAAAACATCACGGATGATCATCAAACACTCTTATGCATGATCGTTTGTGGAGAATCAATTAATTTCCCTCAGTTATTCTGTGAAGAGTTATCACTCTCACTCCCTTCTAACGAGTCCTGCACAGCTTGTGTTGTAGGTGGAAACCGGTAATAGCTCCAACCGTTCAAAATCTAGAGCCAAATTTGTAGGAAGAAAACTATTTCAAGAAGTGCTAGAATCCGCTTTTACCGCTCCGTTTGTCCAAGCCGCTAATAAGGTTACTCACGTAACGGTTCTATGAACTAAGCGGCACATTCAGCTGAATGAGGAAAACAACACATTCTTTCAGATTATTGCCAAAAGCCACCAATTAAGTCGCACAGACAGTGACTATGCCTGGTTTAAGAACACATTATGCAATGGGAATGATGTCCAGTGTGCTGGCAAGCTCATGGGTGACTCCTGGAAAATGTAGTTCAAATGAAAGGGGGGTGGGCTAAATGTGTCCACACAAACTCCTGCTCTGTGAATATCCCCATGCACATCTTTTAGCAGTATGATAAGCCTGGCAAAACATACAACTCTGAAATGAAACAAGAAATCTTCAAGGCTACAACATTCATCCAATATGGGTGGGTGAGTGAGTGTGATGATACATTAATTTTTGTAGTTGAAAGGACTACATATCTGTCCTGACAAACCTAGTGTAATGGTCCCAGGTCAGTAGGCAATGGCAGGTTCTCTTATGCCCCCCTCGTAGTTGGTGCTCTTTTCACACTTCAGAGGACCAGCATTACCCCCCTGAGACATACGCATCAACTCAGGCCTGGATGGGGAAAGAGAGGGAGAGAGGTTCACCAAAGGTGAAATGTGAAAGGCTCTTAGTCCTTTCACATTTGTTGTAAAATCAGTAGTAAAAACTGGAACACATATGGTGCAAACATACGGTATGCAACTAAACTATCACATAATATCCGTACACACTACTAGTAAACTACACTGACACACCATCTCACACACACCAACATACAGTGCCTTGCAAAAGTATTCATCCCCCTTGGCGTCTTTCCTATTTTGTTGCATTACAACCTGTAAATTAAATGGATTTTAATTTGGATTTCATGTAATGGACATACACAAAATAGTTCAAATTGGTGAAGTGAAATGAAAAAAATAACTTGTTTAAAAAATTTCTAACAAATAAATAACGGAAAAGTGGTGCGTGCATATGTATTCACCCCCTTTGCTATGAAGCCCCTAAATAAGATCTGGTGCATCCAATTACCTTCAGAGGTCACATAACTAGTTAAATAAAGTCCACCTGTGTGCAATCTAAGTGTCACATGATCTGTCACATGATCTCAGTATATATACACCTGTTTTGAAAGGCCCCAGAGTCTGCAATACCACTAAGCAAGCGGCATCACCAAGCAAGCAGCACCATGAAGACCAAGGAGCTCTCCAAACAGGTCAGGGACCTTGTGGAGTTGTGGAGATGTACAGATCAGGGTTGGGTTATAAAAAAAAGATCAGAAACTTTGAACATCCCACGGAGCACCATTAAATCCATTATTAAAAAATTGAAAGAATATGGCACCACAACAAACCTGCCAAGAGAGGGCTGCCCACCAAAAGTCACAGACCAGGCAAGGAGGGCATTAATCAGAGAGGCAACAAAGAGACCAAAGATAACCCTGAAGGAGCTGCAAAGCTCCACAGCGGAGATTGGAGTATCTGTCCATAGGACCACTTTAAGCCGTACACTCCACAGAGCTGGGCTTTACGGAAGAGTGGCCAGAAAAAAGCCATTGCTTAAAGAAAAAAAATAAGCAAACACTTTTGGTGTTCGGCAAAAGGAATGTGGGAGACTCCCCAAACATATGGAAGAAGGGACTCTGGTCAGATGAGACTAAAATTGAGCTTTTTGGCCATCAAGGAAAACGCTATGTCTGGCGCAAACCCAACGCCTCTCATCACCCTGAGAACACCATCCCCACAGTGAAGCAAGGTGGTGGCAGCATCATGCTATGGGGATGTTTTTCATCGGCAGGGACTGGGAAACTGGTCAGAATTGAAGGAATGATGGGATGGCGCTAAATACATGGAAATTCTTGAGGGAAACCTGTTTCAGTCTTCCAGAGATTTGAGACTGGGACGGAGGTTCACCTTCCAGTAGGACAATGACCCTAAGCATACTGCTAAAGCAACACTCAAGTGGTTTAAGGGAAAACATTTAAATGAATTGGAATGGCCTAGTCAAAGCCCAGACCTCAATCCAATTGAGAATCTGTGGTATGACTTGAAGGAGCTGGAGCAGTTTTGCCTTGAAAAATGAGAGACTTGCAGCTGTAATTGTTGCAAAAGGTGGCTCTACAAAGCATTGACTTTGGGGGGGGGGGGGGGGGGGGGGATGAATAGTTATGCACGCTCAAGTTTTCTGTTTCTTTGTCTTATTTACATTTTAGTCATTTAGCAGACACTCTTATCCAGAGCGACTTACAGTTAGTGAATACATATATATATATATTTTTTTTATACTGGCCCCCCGTGGGAATCGAACCCACAACCCTGGCGTTGCAAACACCATGCTCTATCAACTGAGCTACATCCCTGCCGGCCATTCCCTCCCCTACCCTGGACGACGCTGGGCCAATTGTGCGCCGCCCATGAGTCTCCCGGTCGCGGCCGGCTGCGACAGAGCCTGGATTCGAACCAGGATCTCTAGTGGCACAGTTAGCACTTATTTCTTGTTTGTTTCACACAAAATAATATTTTGCATCTTCAAAGTGGTAGGCATGTTGTGTAAATCAAATGATACAACCACCCCCCCCCCCCCCCCCCCCCAAAATCCATTTTAATTCCAGGTTGTAAGGCAACAAAATAGGAAAAATGCCAAGGGGGGTGAATACTTTCGCAAGCCACTGTAGCTCCTACCCGTTTTCAGCAGTGAACAGTATGAGTGTGTTGTTGAGGACTCCAGTCTGTTCCAGAGCTGACAGCAGGTTCCCTACTGTAGAGTCAAACTCCAGTAGAGCATCACCAAACGGACCCCTATGAGACCACCCTGCCGCTGCTAGGCCTGCATACTGGGAGTAGCGGATGTGCTGGAGGGATGACAGGAAAGAGAGGGGGAAAGAGAGAGAGACTCTTCACCTGGAAAATTGTTGGAGGTTCACACAGTACCTTTGAACTTTAAGTGATTGTTAGCTTCTCACATGGGAGAGGTAGTGGAGAAAGAAGAAATGCTTACATGGGAGGGGTAGTAGAGGAAGAAGGGTTGTTTCTTCCTGGCAGACTGGGTGATGAAGTCTGTGGCCCTCTCTACATCCAGGAAGTCCACAGGCTGCTGCTTGATGACGTCATTGTGCATCAGCGGGATGGTTACCACACCAACATCACAGTGTCCGAAGCATTTAACGTCCGGCGGGAAACACGTCAGGTTATGACAGGCTCCCTGGGAGAGAGAGAGAGAGAGAGAGAGAGAGAGGCAGGGAGGGTTAAAAAGAGAGAGAGGAGGATGGAGAGATGATAGAAAGATTCAGAGGGAGAGCCAACTAAACCAAAAGTGACAAAGTAATTTCTCTGCCTTAGCTGGGGTAATGTTGAGAAGACAGAGACACTGACAACATATTAGTAACTACCAGTTAACAATCAATCACCCAACCAATCACCCAATCAATCAACAACTACCAGTACTACCCAGGTAGTGGTCTCGTTCAGAGGGAGACCCCCGCGGGACCCAGGGTAGAACACCCCGGGGTACACCCCCGACCGGGTCTGGTAACGCCCTGTCAGCAAAGACGCCCTAATGGGAAAAGACAACCATCATTTAATTTATTTAAAACATTGATGGTAAAAACATTTTAATTCGATCACCTTTTTACATCACTCCTTTTGATTTAAACAAAATGATATAATTTGTATTTGTCACGCCGTGGCCTTGAGAGCCCAGTTTTCTTTAGTTGGTTTGGTCAGGGTGTGAATTTCTATGTGTAAGATCTAGATTTGTTGATCTATGTTGGCCGGGTGTGGTTCCCAATCAGAGGCAGCTGTCGATCGTTGCCTCTGATTGGGGATCATACTTAGGCAGCCATGTTGCCTACCTATGTTGTGGGATCTTGTTTCTGTGTGTTTGGCTTGTTTGATGTTAGCCTTTAGAACGTCACGTTACATTGCGTTTGTTGTTTTGTTCGGTGTTTATTCAATAAACGAACATGTACGCATACCATACTTGGTCCAATCCTGTATTCAACATATGTGACAGAAGATCCCACCACCAACGGACCAAGCAGCGTGCCCAGGAGGAGCAAACACCCTGGACACAGGTGGGGAAGACGTGGTCTTGGGAGGAGATATTTGCTGGTAAAGGACCCTGGGCGAAGGTAGAAGCCCAGGTAGGAGAGGATCAACGGCGACGCCAACGGTACCGACCGCTAAGGAAGCCCGAGAGGCAACCCCAATAATATTTTTTGGGGGGCACACGGGGTGGTTGGCTAAGCAGCAGGAGGCTCGGAGAGACCTGCAGATTAGCACTCTGATAGAAGAGGCAACCACCTTACGGGGGCTGAGCAGGAGAGCTCCCTTCAAGAGGAGGCGCTGCAGGAGGCCCTTAGGGTGAAGGAGTCAATGGTTGCACAGAGAGAGGAGCTGGCCAGGCAACAAGAGAAGCTGAGAGAGGAATTAACGCTCCAGCAGCAGAGAGCTCAGTCTTTAGAGCAGAGGTTAGCAGAGCCAGCTACCCGCACTCGCTGTAAGGAGCGTGTGTTCATTGTGGAACCAGGTGATGCGGAGAAACGCACTGTGTCGCCAGTGCGCCTTCACAGCCCAGTGCGTCCTGTGCCAGTGCCCCCGCACGTGCCGTGCGAAAGTGGGCATCCAGCCAGGACGGGTTGTGCCAGCTTTACGCTCCAGACCTCCAGTGCGCCTCCACGGTCCAGTATATCCTGCGCCGGTTCTACGCACTGTGTCACCAGTGCGCCTCCCAAGCCCGGTACGGCCCGTACCTGCTCCTCGCACCAAATCAGTGGTTGCGTGTATCCAGTTCAGTATGGCCCGATCCTGCTACTCGCACCAAACCAGTGGTGCGTGTCTCCAGCCCGGTACGCCCCGTACCTGCTCCTCGCACCAAACCAGTGGTGCGTGTTCCCAGCCCGGTGCGGCCCGTGCCTGCTCCTCGCACCAAACCAGTGGTGTGTGTCTCCAGTCCGGCACAGCCCGTGCCTGCTCCTCGCACCAAACCAGTGGTGCGTGTCCCCAGCCCGGTACGGCTGGTGCCAGAGCAGTCCGCTCCACCGGTGCCTAGTCCAGCTCCGGTCAGCTGCTCCACTCCAGTGCCAGAGCAGTCCGCTCCACCGGTGCCTAGTCCAGCTCCGGTCAGCTGCTCTAGTCCAGAGCCAGAGCAGTCCGCTCCACCGGGGTACAGTTCAGCTCCGGTCAGCGGCTTCACTCCAGAACCAGACGTCAGCCCCTCTCCAGGGTCGGGGCCTCCCACACCAGGGTCCAGACAGGGCTTGGTGCATCACGGGAGGATTGCTGGTCCAGGCCCAGACGTCAGCCCCTCTCCAGGGTCGGGGCCTCCCACACCAGGGTCCAGACAGGGCTTGGTGCATCGTGGGAGGACTGAGAGGGGAAGCATCACGCCGAGGTCCAGACTGAGAGGGGTGCAACGGGGAGGCAGAAAGGGAGAGGATGTCACGCCCGGAGCCGGAGCCGCCACCGAGGCTGAATGCCCACCTGGACCCTCCCCTAATGAGTCAGGTTGGTGCGGCCGGAGTACGCACCTTTTGGGGGGGGGGGGAGGTGGGGGGGGGGGGGGGGTACTGTCACGCCCTGGCCTTGAGAGCCCGTTTTTTTTTTGTTTGTTTGGTCAGGGTGTGAATTTCTATGTGTAAGATCTAGATTTGTAGATCTATGTTGGCCGGGTGTGGTTCCCAATCAGAGGCAGCTGTCGATCGTTGTCTCTGATTGGGGATCATACTTAGGCAGCCATGTTGCCTACCTATGTTGTGGGATCTTGTTTCTGTGTGTTTGGCTTGTTTGATGTTAGCCTTTAGAACGTCTCGTTACATTGCGTTTGTTGTTTTGTTCGGTGTTTATTCAATAAACGAACATGTACGCATACCATACTTGGTCCAATCCTGTATTCAACGTACTTGACAGAAGATCCCACCACCAACGGACCAAGCAGCGTGCCCAGGAGAAGCAAACACCCTGGACACAGGTGAGGAAGACGTGGTCTTGGGAGGAGATATTTGCTGGTAAAGGACTTCACGTTACGTTGCTTTTGTTGTTTTGTTCGGTGTTTATTCAATAAACAAACATGTATGCATACCACGCTGCACCTTGGTCCAATCCTGTATTCAACAATCGTGACAGTATTTAAAAAATGTTTTTATAGAAATTATTAAATAGTATGACAAGTATGGTATTATTTTATGTATCATTAAGGCAAATGTAGGGAGAGGTCAAAGGTAAAATAATAATATTAGTAATAAGCATGGATATGTTGTAAAATTAAAAACCTATATGCCTTAAAATGTTTATGGATTGAGAACCAGTTGAAAGGTTAATACAGAGCAGAGACATTTATGTGTTTTTCATAAAACTCCCTGCAGCTGGTGTGGGAATGTCAATGACGTGATGGCTGTGTGGAGATTGAAGTAACAATGGAACTAGTGTTATCATTTCTTTATGCTTATGACCTTATGACCTGACACATGGCCACATGCACATAATCTCAGGGGCCGGGGAGGATGATGAATGATAAATGTTTTATAATGTGTTATGAAATGATAATGGTGAAACAGAATGAACATGTTTGATATTTTATAATCCAGATACATGCTTAAATAAGGAATATAGTCATGGAGTATATGCTGTGTTTTAAATGAATGCATGTGTTCTTTCACAGGGGCTCTTAAACTGTGGCACATGGGTTTGTTATAGACACATGGTATGCATTACATTAGTTTTTTAAGAAGGGGCTTTTAAGAAGGGGCCTAAGCACGCAGCCAATAGAATGATAGAATGAGAGGGGTGGTACAGAACTAAAAAAAGTTAGGAATGTACGCATGTTTTTTCATTTGTGTGGATATAAGAGATCTTTAAGCCAGAGAGAGACAGTTTGTTCCATGGAGCAGGCTGGGCTTTGTTATGCAATAAAGTCTAAATTCTTGAATTCACAAGCTCCGGTGTCTTGAGAGATATTTTTGAGTTGATTGTCTCTTAGTCAGATATTTCCACGACATAATTGGCGAGCTTAGCCAGTAGTTGAAAAAATAGGGATCAGAGATGGTATACATCTGCAGTTGTGAAACGGCTTGGACGGACCATACAAACAAAAGCGGCCGCTTTTAAAAGGTAAGCCAAGTTCTTACTTATATAGTATAACGTTTGTGTGGTCCGATCCGGGGCTCGGCAACATCTAAAGAAATACCAAAGTAGGTCTCTCCAAATTTAAGAACCAGAAAATTAGACACTAGGAGCTTTTGAATTTAAGAATACATGTCGCTGTTGTTTGTCTGAACCGTCTGTTCAATTGATTTGATTCATTTGATTCATTTGATTCATTTGATTCATCTTGCTGATCGCTTTGTCTGGGTCATTTCGACACGGGTGGTTGTACAGCTGGTTGAGCGATCAGACAATAACATGTTAAGTCCTACAGATACCGCTTTAGACGTGTTGGGGAAGTGAATCGTCTTGAGGACTGCTTAGGTAGGCAGAAATCCTGTGTAATACCGCTTCTTTTTCTGTGTTGAGAAAGTGTAACAGAAAAAATAGGGCAGAATTGACAGGTCGCTTAGGAAAGCGTAGTAGAAGTCCAGGTGTGTTGAGGAAGTGTAATACCTAGGGGGCGAAATAAATATAAATCCTGTGGATACCGCTTTGGAGAGGTAAAATTCCAGGGGACTGAACGGGCAGGAAGGGAATCATCCTGTGTTGTGGTGATGCTAAAATTAGGTAGGGTCGATCAGGTAAAAAAGTTAGGTCATCCGGCGTAGGTGACACCGTAAATTGGAGTAACACCGGTCATCCTGAGTAGGTGAACGGGTTAAATAGCTACAAGGGCTTCAAAATTTTTATAAAGTGTTATATATAGAGTAGGTCTGCTCATCTCATATGGGGAATGGGTTGCTTGGGCGGCTGTGAGTCATTCAACTGTCTGATTCATTTGGGCACAAGTGGCTGCTCATCTGTGTGAGTGAGAATAAGAAATCCTGCAAGTAAATAGCCTTTCTGTAAGGAAAGGAAATATATTTGAGGTTGTTTGAAGCTTCTGTCTGATGGAGAAAGGGTGTGCCCAATCTCACATTAGGAAAGAGAAGAATAAATGGTGCGTGGATATTCATTGACCAACTGAGTGTAGAAAATTCACGTTCCCAGGAGGGGTAGAATAAATCATGTTGGAGGAACAGGTCACGTGTACCGGTGTGGTCATATGACATCTATGCA